CAAAATAGAGTCTATGTTTAAACCGTATGTAACATAACTCAATTTAATTATTCGTATCAGGTATGTTCGCTTCTTTTAAAGGTTAAACAATGTGCGGCTTGACGAGTTAAGGAAAACACTAGGGCGGTGTAACTTCTCAGATCGAACTTTAAAGTAAAATCATCAAAACCGGAACCACATTTCGATGGATAAACAGCTACAGCTTAATCGTCCAGCTATATCTCCTCAGTCTACACTCAGTGCTTCAGTGGAAGGTCTACTATAATAAACCTCTCTGCTAAGAAGAAACCAGCCTTACAGGAACAGTAAACCTGTAGCCGAATAATTTTCCTTTAATAAAATCTCATATAGTAATTCACAAATGTGTTGGTCTTTTAGGGCTTGATGTTTGGCGCAATGATGATCTTATAAAATCCATTGTGTTCGTGTACCACTCACCACTGCACCAGTCACCACTGCACCAGTCACCACTGCACCAGTCCCATTGTGTTCAAAAGATGTTTCATTGTCAAATCTTGGAGCGTATTATATGATTGGCGCGATAGTAACTAAAAACTACAGAATATGGTATTGGTCTTTCATTTGGTCGATTTAAAGAGAGAAATATTACCCAAATTTACCTCGGTTGCTAGCAGACAGATTGTGGTGGCCAGTGGTCACAGTAACGTACAAAATTCAGAGGTTGTCATTAAATCTTAGAACTACCAGTAACTTTTTACAGAATGAAATTTAGACAAGTGGATACAAAGTTATTTTAAAAAGTACATCCTTGCAAGACTTTTCATACACCCTGTTTCATAATATATGTAATATTAAACGAGAGAGAGGGAACTTTTGACTGAGAGAGAGAGAGGAGAGAGAGAGAGAGAGAGAGAGAGAGAGAGAGAGAGAGAGGAGAGAGAGAGAGAGAGAAGGGAGAGAGAGAGAGAGTGAGAGAGAGAGAGAGGAGAGAGGAGAGAGAGAGGAGAGAGAGGAGAGAGAGAGAGAGAGAGGAGGAGAGATGAGAGAGAGAGAGAGAGAGAGAGGAAACTTTTGACTGAGAGAGAGGGATCGAACTTTTGACTGAGAGAGAGAGAGGGAACTTTTGACTGAGAGAGAGAGAGAGAGAGGGAACTTTTGACTGAGAGAGAGGGGGGAACTTTTTAAATGAGAGAGAGAGAGAGAGAGAGAGAGAGGGGGAACTTTTGATGAAGAGGAGGGAACTTTTGACTGAGAGAGGGGAGGGAACTTTTTTATGAGGAGGAGAGAGAGGAACTTTTATGAAAAAAAAAACAAAAAGGAAAATTCCATCAGGAAAAAAGAAAAAAACAAGAACTGGAACACCGTATTTTGACAAGTCCAGTAAACCATATCCTTTTAAAGGGAGGGCCCCCCCCCCTTAGCGCCTCGGGTTCCCTTTTGGTCCCCCAAAAACAAGTCCTTTAAATTTTTTTTCGCCCCCCAAAAAGTTTATGGCGTTGCTTTTTCGTTTTTGTTTATTTAGCGTTACTTTTCATTTAAATTATTTTCGGTTTGCAGTTTGTTTAACTTCATGTTTCTTTCCCCCGGCCCTTTGGTTTTTTAACCCCCAGAATTTTTTTTAAAGGCCAGGGGGTCCCCCTTTACAACCCCCTTTTTTAACTTTTTTTTAGTGTTTGGGCCCCCTTTTTAGGGTCTACTTTAATCGCTTTTAAAACGACCGTACAAAAGAACTGTTAAAAATTTAAACGACCCCCCCATGGTTTTTAATAAAATTTAAGGTTTGGTCCTTTACTTAAAAAATTTAGTTGTTGAAATTAGCCTCCCCCCCCCCTTTTCTTTTTGGGACTAAAGGGAAAATCTCCGCCTTTGATTTATTTGTCTCCCCCTTTTTTTTTTGTTGGACCGCCCCCTTTTGGTTTAGGTAGGTAAAAAATTTAAAGCCCCTTTTTGCGAGGGAAAAGCATTATTCCTGGGGGTTCTGCTTTCCAAACCCCCCTCCCCTTCATTCGAAAAAAAGGTTGTGGGGCCCCCTTGTTTCGCAAAGGGCGGAACGCAGGCAATTTTCTTCCGGCGATATGTGGGAACTCAAATTTGGGGGAAAAAAATTGGTTTAGGGCCGGTCTGGGTTACGACATTTTAGGTCTTTTTCCCTCGTCCTCCTTATTTTCGTGGGGTTTCCCCCCCCCCTTTTTTTGTTTTGGGGCCCCGTCGGATCCATTCAGCCCCCAAAAAAAAAGGCCCCTTTGGGTGTTGTTCCCTTTGGATGGGAAGGGTTTTTTCTGTTTTTTTTTTTGGGGTTTTATTTTGATTTTGGTTTGGGCGGGTTTCTTGTTTTTTTTGGGGGTCGGGTTTACCCCCCAAAAATGTACGAAAAATTTGGTTTAAAAACAAGTTTAGGAAATGGGCTTTTTTCCCCTTTTTTGTTGCGTAACTGCTTCCCCCCCATTTTGGTTATTTCTGTTTAGATTTTTACTTTTTTTCAGAACGAGGTAGAAAAATGTCCCCAACATCGAGTCAGTTTAACAATTCTTAAATTTTTTAAAGTCACTAAAATGTGGGCAAATTAACTTTTTCCGCCCCCAATTTCGATGGTGTAAAAAATTGATGGTGCTTTATCCTAAATTTAAAAACCCAACCCAAAAAAATTTAATGTGTTGCGATTTTCCTAAAATTTTATAATGTTGCAAATAAAAAAAGTTTCCCCATTTGAAGTTATAACTTTAAATTTGGAATTAATTTCTTTCGAAACGGTTTTGGTAGATATTGTTCAGAATAGAGCTCAAATTTAACAATTTTAGATTTTAATTTGTCAAAAAAACACTGAAAAATTGACAAAAATTTAACCCGGGGCCCCAATAAAAACAATAAGGGTTAAAAATTGGAATAAATTAGGAAAAGCATTCCTTTATTTGACCCTAAAAAGAAAAGTGGTTAAATAGACTTATAACTTTTTAATAATTGATTTGGACAAAAAAACATTTTGAAATTTTGAAAACTTTCCTCTTTAGAATCTATGTTTTATTTTTCACAAAAATTTCGATAAAAATAGTTATTTTGGAAGGGTACAGAGTTATAATAATTTTTTTGTGAAAAAAATTTCCCTTTTTTGACCATGTTGGGTATTTTAATTTGCATGTTATTTTTAACTATACCCCCAATTTTTAATTTATTAATGTTTACTGGTCGGTTTGCATGTTGTTTGAATGTTTTGTAATTTAAAATTTAAGTGGTATTCATTTTGTTAATTTTCAATTTAATTTTATCGTTTTTGGGAAAAAAATAAAAATTGTTTGTGCTTCTGTGTTTTTTAAAAATTCCTTACGATTTATGTATAAAAACAATTCTAGCAATAGGCCATTTAAAAATCCATTATCACATTCTTTCAGGGTTTAAAAATTTGTTTCCCCTTTTTTTTTAAAATTTGCAGATAAAAATGTGCACCATCAAAAAAAAAGTGTAAAAAATTAGGTGGTTAATTTACCCATCCAAACAAAAACACCAAAATTTTTTGGGTCAAAAATCGGCAAGCAAGGGGCCTTTATTTCTTTGTCACATGTTTTTAAAATGTGAAATGTAACCCTTTTGGCCGGGCCTTTTAAGGGTATTTTCACAGTTTAGATACTTTTGTAATAAGTTAGGGAAAAGGAGAGAGATTATCCTAAACCATCAAAAAGGGTTTGTGTTATTTATTGTGTGACAAGAAACACTTGCTTTTAATAAGTCACCCTTATATTTTAAATATTTTTAAAAAAATGAACGTTTTTCCAAAGGATTTTTCGTTTTTCTAATGTACAAAACTAATGAATTTGCATTTAAAAATTTTTTTGTTTCCGTTTACAGCTATAAGGCCAAGTAAAGGGTTTTAGATCCGGGAAAAAGTTGTGAAGCCAAATTTAAAATGTTCAAATTTCGTTTTTGTTTAGTAAAATTTTTCCTTTTTTTTCCCTTGGGTTAGAGGATCTCTAAAGGGAAAAAACCCCAATAATACGCTTTAGCCCTCTGTAATCGGGGCAAAAATTGCATCCAAAAAATTGTATAATTCCACCAAATCGAAAACATGGCCCAAAAACAGTAATCCTCCTTAGTGAACCCCCTTATTAGCAAAATCCCAAAAAAAGCGTCAATTTTTAAAAGGTTTGGTAAAAGGGGGGCAAATGTTTTTGTTTTAAATCTTTTAACGAGGAAAAGTGGGTAATTTCCCATTTCTCCCAAAAAAAATAACACAATAACAGGAGTTGAAGATGTGTCGTTATTTGAAATTGTAGAATTTTCCTTGTTCCTGGGAGAAATACCCCTAATGTTTTTCCTCGAGGGGGGAGTACAGGGGAAAAAACCCCGTTCAACTTTTAGTACTCGCACATTAAAAGGCATTTTTACTCCGTCAAGTTTATGTTCTTCTATTAGGTACTCCAACCGGTTTTAAATGAAAAGAAGTAAAAAGAAAAGGAAATTGAACTGAAAGAGAAAGTGAAACTGAAAGAGAAAGTGAAACTGAAAGAGAAAGTGAAACTGAAAGAGAAAGTGAAACTGTTAAAAGAGAAAGTGAAACTGTTAAAAGAGAAAGTGAAACTGTTAAAAGAGAAAGTGAAACTGTTAAAAGAGAAAGTGAAACTGTTAAAAGAGAAAGTGAAACTGTTAAAAGAGAAAGTGAAACTGTTAAAAGAGAAAGTGAAACTGTTAAAAGAGAAAGTGAAACTGTTAAAAGAGAAAGTGAAACTGTTAAAAGAGAAAGTGAAACTGTTAAAAGAGAAAGTGAAACTGTTAAAAGAGAAAGTGAAACTGTTAAAAGAGAAAGTGAAACTGAAAGAGAAAGTGAAACTGAAAGAGAAAGTGAAACTGTTAAAAGAGAAAGTGAAACTGTTAAAAGATAAAGTGAAACTGTTAAAAGAGAAAGTGAAACTTTTAAAAGAGAAACTGAAAAACAAAGTGAAAATAAAAGACGGAGTGAAATATTTGATGCGTTGCTTAAAATGAAGAAAAGTAGGAGGGTCTGGACAGCCTGAAATAACACACAAACAGACAAATAACTTAATAATCACCCGTTTGAGGAGTCTTGCGAGGGCGAGCCAGGCACGTACTCCTAATCTAACATTATTGGCTACTATGAGTCTCGTAACAGGCTCGTAGTACTCTATCATCTCAAACACTGAGATAGCACCCTGGGTGGCAAGTTATTTTAGCTATTTGAGTTATTTAAGTTATTTAAGTTGTTTTAGTTATTTTGATTATTTTAGTTATTTTAGTTATTCTAGTTTCACTAACATGATCGTAATAATAGATTTAAGTTTAATTAAGATTAAACATATAGGTACTTAGTATGTTTAATCCAAATAACCTGCAAATTGACATAAATATCAGGGCTGACAATTCATGCTCGGGTAAATCAATGAAGTCAGAACATTTCAACTAAATGGAAAAAGATCTTACACTGTTTATAACTAAAATAGTTTGTCAGTTTCGTGTACACTGTACATGATAATATCTATTATCTTAAATCGTTATTTTTATCTACATGATACTAATGATGTACATATCTGACATGGATCAATTTATAGCACGCTTCTCATGAGGTGAGTTATAATTTAGTTTTTTATTTTATATATAAAATATATATATAGTTGGTCCATAATTATATATACATCATAGCCAGCACAGGGTCGGGCGGAGGGCAAGAATGGTATATTTATTTTTATCTTTTCACATCTAAAATGTTTAAATTTGATAATAATACCAAATAAGGCAATGTTTGTCTGCTGAAAATATTATTACTAGAAACGAATCCATGTTGACAAAAATCGAGTAGCTTACACGGAAGGCTGGTAAAGCTGAGAAGAGACAGATTATTGAGACTTTTTCTAGACTTTTTCTAGACTATTAACGAGAATTCCTTATGCTCTCCTACGAAGCCCCTAATATTTCCCCGGGGGGCCGGGGGGTCTTCATCAAAATTCTCTCGAAATCGACTTTATAGTTGTTTCTGATAGAGGGGAGTGATATCTATCAGAGCTGCTTTTGGTCCCATGGAAAAATATTGTTCCTAGCCGAAATTATCGCTGGTCATAGGTCAGCGCTTATGTGTAATTGTATTGCGCGAGCGATTTTCAATCGCGCGTTCTGAAAATCGAGTCTAAAAATCTATCTTCTCCTACATTTTTTGAGCAATCACCCTCAAACTTTCAGGATATGTTCTTAGGATCAGTTAGAAGAGAACTCTAGAGCCAGAATTTTGAGATAGGCCTTAAAAGATTTTTAATTTGATTTTAAAATTCTTGGACCTCTAAAAATCAAGTCCACTAAGAATTTCAAAATCAAATTAAAAATCTTTTAAGGCCTATCTCAAAATTCTGGCTCTAGAGTTCTCTTCTAACTGATCCTAAGAACATATCCTGAAAGTTTGAGGGTGATTGCTCAAAAAATGTAGGAGAAGATAGATTTTTAGACTCGATTTTCAGAACAAGCGATTGGAAATCGCTCGCGCAATACAATTACATATAAGCGCTGACCTTTGACCAGCGATAATTTCGGCTAGGAACAATATTTTTCCATGGGACCAAAAGCAGCTGATAGATATCACTCCCCTCTATTAGAAACAACTATAAAGTCGATTTCGAGAGAATTTTGATGAAGACCCCCCTCCCCCCCGGCCCCCTTAAGAATACGCCACATCTTTCCCTGTGACACGGTAAGCTAGATTCAGATATAACAACATGTTATCATGGGAAATTAATACGCGGTAATTGCTGCTCCAATTAAATAGTGAGGAGCCAAACCTTTATTAATTAGCAACATTTGGCTGGTGTTATAAAACAAATATATCCCACTGTACGTGTGTATTCAATACAAATAATAAACATTATAGCTATGTTATACTGGCACAGTTGAAAAGTATGTCAGTTGAAAAGTATCAGTTTCTACACATCTTATTATCATTGATTATATATCATGAGTTATGAGTTATTTATTCCGTTGTCCAAAAAACAATTAATTCATCAAATTCAAATGTGTTTTATACTCTCATAAGATATGTCAATTATAATTTGTATGTATTGAGCATAGTAGTAAATAATAATAGTAATAAAGTAGTAAACAGTCATACATTGCAAATATTCAGCATCATTTACTTCAGCAATTTAATTTTCTGTCATATCCTGTGGATACGATTGAAACATTTGAGTAGTACTACACAGCAAATATGCTCTGTTTTGTTTCACTTTGAAGTGTTAACTGTGAAGTTATACATCTCTTTGATGGTGCTCCGTCGGAATGGAAACTCCCACGATCAGAAATATGTCGACTGTAATTTATAAGAATAAATTGTAAGGTTGGTCAGATTTATGAAGAACAAAAGCTTGGTTTCTGATAGAATAGATATCTTATTCCATACATCCACCATAATTCACACGAAATTTACGTTGGTGCCAACCTCTTTGTCCTATCAAACGAAGCCATATTACGATCGATTTAATTTGTTATATGAAACTTAGCCACAATACCTAATACCTATTGATATTTAAATTTAATTGCATGATTCCAAAGAATAGAGCTCGAGGGATAATCAGGGTACGATTCCTATATTAGGGAAATAATCATACAATTATCATACTTAGACACGCAAAACTGGTAACACTGGTAATAGAGGGCTATCTAGATACTAGCTACACTGGAGGCCACTAAACTATAATAAAACTAAAAATCAGTGCATTATTATAGTACTCACTACGACCCCGGCCCACTACTCCACTAGTAGTGGTACTCCACTACGACCTACGCAGAAAAGTATCGTGTATTTAACATTAAACCCTCAGTGACAGTAGTCTGTGATTATAGGGGACAAGCCAAGGGGTATTTTGGGGTACTTAGAATTAGGGGTATTATGGGGGCCTCTATTATGGGGGATTTCCAAAATCCACTAAGGCATTCCCTAAAGTACCCCATAATACCCCAATTATACTAGTGCTTGGTATGAGCACATACATACAGTCCCTCAAACCATGGTAACATTGCAATATTTGCAGGTCACATATTTGCATAATGTTGAATATTTGTAACTAGATACCTATAAAGTCCTTCTCAACTGCTGTACAGTCAGGATAATGGTGTGCAGGAGGTAAAGTAGCTGGGAACTAGAGGACAGTCATTTTAATCATGGTTGAGACTTGAGAGGGCGTTTCGCGGGTTTTCATTGGTTATTGAGACTTGAGAGGGCGTTTCGCGGGTTTTCATTGGTTATTTAGCCATTAATTAAGTTGTGATATAATATATATACTATATATATATATAGTATATGATTTATAGAGTTATATTGTAGTTTAAGTTTTACAGGTAATTATTGGCTAATACTACTAATGAGGTTTTATTGGTATTCAATTTCTTCATGATGAAAATTCTCTTTTTGGTCCTATGGATAAATATTATTTCTAGCCGAATTTATAACCGGTCAAAGTTCAGCGCTTGTGACTGTGTGTAAATGTATTGGGCCAGAGATTTTCAGTCGTGTGCCCTGAAAAGCTTAAAAACGAGTTAACAAATCTATCGGAACACTTACGTCATCATCAAGCTGTGTCTGTTCAATGTTGAGGGTCTGAGCTCGTAGCACTCTTAGCACCGCCTCCAGCGCTTCACAGTGTGCGGGGTCAAGTCTGGTTCCTGAAGATAAACACTGTTAGATAAATAAAATAAATAAATAAATTCTAACATTTATTACACGCTTCGACATTAAGGGGGGGGGGCCAATGGATATTTTTTTGTGAAACTTGTTTTCGAGATAGCAGTTGACCAACAAACTAGGACCAGTGACCAAACTTTTGAGGGGGTCCCAGACCCCAACCGCCAAACGGTGCCCGCGGGGCAGCCACGCCCATATCTGGTCCAAATTAGGCCCAATTTAGCCAAATACCCTGAACATGCCCAAAACCCAAATTTTAGGTGCTCTACTTGTAGCTAGTGGTCTCCTAAACTCGTATATGAAATTTCATCAAGATTGGACAAAAAATGACTGAGTTATGAGCCAAAAACTATATGCCCATATTTGGGCATACGCACCAAATTTGGTAGATTTCGTCCCATAAATTGGTCAGATATCAATATTTTTCATCGAAACTTACTTTATATGAAAGGTAGGCCTAAACTACATATTCTCTGTAAGTTATAGCTTTATATCTGTTTAAATGTGGAAACTAAGGCGAAAAGACCACAAAAAATGAACTAAATTGCCCATATCTTGGTTCGCGATATTCGCGGAATCGATCTCATTAAAATTGTAACAACTCAATCAGTTTTCAAAATTTTTCCATGAAATTTTCGGAATCGACTCGAAATCGCATTTCCACCTTAGTTTGAGAACAGATTTTTGATTTAGGCCTCCAAAAAAATTTGGCGGCCAAATTCTGAATTTTTCCGGGAAAATTTTGGAATTTGGCCGCCAAATTTTTTTGGAGGCCTAAATCAAAAATCTGTTCTCAAACTAAGGTGGAAATGCGATTTCGAGTCGATTCCGAAAATTTCATGGAAAAATTTTGAAAACTGATTGAGTTGTTACAATTTTAATGAAATCAATTCCGCGAATATCGCGAACCAAGATATGGGCAATTTAGTTCATTTTTTGTGGTCTTTTCGCCTTAGTATCCACATTTAAACAGATATAAAGCTATAACTTACAGAGAATATGTAGTTTAGGCCTACCTTTCATATAAAGTAAGTTTCGATGAAAAATATTGATATTTGACCAATTTATGGGACGAAATCTACCAAATTTGGTGCGTATGCCCAAATATGGGCATATAGTTTTTGGCTCATAACTCAGTCATTTTTTGTCCAATCTTGATGAAATTTCATATACGAGTTTAGGAGACCACTAGCTACAAGTAGAGCACCTAAAATTTGGGTTTTGGGCATGTTCAGGGTATTTGGCTAAATTGGGCCTAATTTGGACCAGATATGGGCGTGGCTGCCCCGCGGGCACCGTTTGGCGGTTGGGGTCCGGGACCCCCTCAAAAGTTTGGTCACTGGTCCTAGTTTGTTGGTCAACTGCTATCTCGAGAAACAAGTTTCACAAAAAAATATCCATTGGCCCCCCCCCCCCCCCCCCCCCCCCCCCCCCTTAAAATATACCCAACAAAGATGTACATTTAAGTCATTCAAGCGAGACTTAGTGTTGAAATACCAAGATTATGGACTTTATATCAGTTCAGATTTTATAAACAAATATTATGTCTTAATACCGCGTATGAGTTTGTTTTTTGCGCAGCGATTAAAAAATGAAATCAAGTCATATACAGCAGAGTTGACAAAGCCTGCGTTATTTAATTAACAACTTTATGAGAAAGATGGCTATCTTGGGTCATTGAAGACTGGTTGACCTGGTTTAGCTGGTTATTTTAAAGTTAACCGTGGAACGGTAGTCAAGCAGAGACTGTCTCGCACTTTCCTTACCTTTGAGATCGATAGTATCAAGTTTTAGGGTACTATCCCGCAGTCCCTCCAACTGATCCACTAGCTTCTGACAAGGTCTGACCCTGAGTTTGGCGCAAAGTTGTTTGTAGGAGTCCAGGACGTTAGCATACTCCTCATCTGGTGAAGAAACTTGTTACATTGAATCAAGTTTTGAATTAATTGATTACATAATTTTATAATTAGCCAATTACCGCCCTGACGGTGTGAGAGCAGTGTTGTAATTGCTGGTGATCACTTCTATTTGTGCGGTAATCGAACAAAACAATAATTGTAAGATCTAAACAGCAGTAAAGTACTAAATATTTTAATAGGCTAACACGGATTGTAATTTTTTGTTAATTATCGGTTGTTTCTTAACAAATACCTACAAAATGTAAAAACCTAGATAGTAAATTGAAGATTCAAACCAATAATCAGCTGACCTAAAATCAATAATGTTTGTAGTGTTTCCCGTTTATTAAAAAACGGGAACCCGACAAATTTTACCACAGAAACATTACAACAATGCGACTAATAAATAATGTCCCTATGCGGATATTACATACCATCAATAACATTAACAGGTACAGGCTCCACGTAATCTGCTAACACTGTTCTGAAGGTAACATTCCTCCCGGTCTCCCCCTCGGTAGCTACATTTCTCTTTAGTATCCCCTTTATTGCAGGCCCTCTCCTCTCTTGTTTCTTTTCTTCTTCTACTGGATTCTAAGACAAGTCCCAGGTTAATAAATTAATTAGTTAATTAATTAGTTCCCAGGTTAATTCCCTCAGCTATTCTAGTTTAATCTAAGAAACATTCTAAATTATCATAAATTCTGGTATTATAGAACAATGATATTTTATTTAATTAAGACTGTAATTAAGACTGTATAAAATTGTAAGTAATCCATTTCATGTGAGGCGAAGCCGAGCGCAACAACTGCAAAAACTGCCCGCATAAAATGAAGCCATCAGTAATCTAAGCTCAGGTTGAACTCAATGTAATCGTATTACAGTACACAAAACAGGTACTACAATGTACACTGAACATTCATGTATTATAACACAACAGCCTATATCATGTTACCGCCTAATCTAGTGCCCCTCCCTGCTTTACTTAGAAATGTTAAAAGTGCTCGTGAGATTACAATGTTAATTATGCATGGATAGATTAGGCTTAAACCTGATTATATCAAAATCTTAATTAAATACGTGATCGTGTTCGCGATTATTCGATGAGCGAGCTGTAGGTAATCATGTGATTATTTCAATGTGAGGAACCGGAATTACATGTTGCTTAATTACACATTGTTCGTGTACATGATTACACACAATTACTAATTACAACTAATTAAACACTGTTCCTGTACGTGATTAATTGATTAATTAATTAATTAATTACCTGGACATGCTCGTAACTACCCTCATCCTCGCTCTCCATGATACTAGCATCCTCTTCTTCATCAGCATCCTGCAGCATCACACTACGAGGACCCCATACGCTACATCTTACATTTCTACCTGAGTTAATTAGTTAATTGATGAAATTAATTACGCTAAATCTTACATTGGATTTCTATCTACAAAGTAGGTAATCAATTAGAGTAATGTGCGTGTTAATTAGAGAAATATTGAACTTGATTTAAAAGTTAAAATTCATTTAATTCTCTATCATGTCGTGCTGCAACTTCATGATTTAAAATATAATTGAAACAATTTCCTCATTCATGTGTTAACACATTTCATTAGAGTTTCCACAATAATATTGTATATTATACGTATATGATACGTTCCTCTAATTAATTGCAGTGAAACACATAATTAAGATTAATTAAGTGGACTATACAAAATGTTGACAATGTTCTTAATATGCTTGGGGGAAATAATCATAACTAAATTTTGTGAAAAAATTGCATCTAGTTATAAATTTGTCAATTTGTCATTATAAAGGGTACAGTAATGATTTGTTTTACATTTTTGGCGGGTGGCAATTTATTAAAAACTAAACAGGGTGAATATAGTACAGTAATACTTATTCAGTAGCACTTAACATATTATAGAGCAACGAGTGAACACTGAACATACTGTTAAAAGTACTAAAAGTAGTATTAATTGAAGAACTTTAAATTAAATCATATCAGTGTTACAAAAAAGCGATCGTTGTGGACTGAAACTAGAGTATAATAACGTAGATTAAAAAGCAATCCGTTAGCATAAAGTCTTGAAAATATATAAAGACACGGCCCATCCCAAACGGTTAAACTCTTAAAATCAGTTAAAGAGCTAACAGGGCGCCGTGCAGGCGGTTACAATCCTTTTAGAGCCCCAAAAATATCATTTAACCAGGTCGACAAACTCTAGACTAGTTTACTACTTTTATAGTTAAATGAACATGCTTCATATATTAGATAATGGTCAAATATTTTAGCTACCCATCTCTAGTTTCATTGTCTTTTAACTAAAACAATGGCATCATTAAAACTTTTTACTAACTGACTTATTTACAAATATAATACAAAACTTGGAAACACCATGCAAATGTCAATGATTTGCTTAAAAACTCCCAAAACCCTCTTAACATACCTTAATAGTAATAGTTAATACTGTTTAGTCATTAAGACAAATGGGGTAACGGGACAGCAAATGAAAGTTCCTGATCAATCTAAACCACCAAAAATAATGTCAAGGTAACTACATCTAAACCACCAAAAATAATGTTAAAGTTACTACTATACTAGTACTATACTAGTACTACATATATTAGTAAATACAATTAATCAAGACATTGGCTCCACAAGGGCGAGATAAGGAAAGTTATCCAACAGTATGTGAATCATTAATCAGCAAACGTGATCTATCTATCACGACTTATGATACAACAACTCCCAGCATGTGAAAGCATAATATAAGACCTCAGTTATTTTTAGTTGCAGTTTTATACCAAAGGAGCAGTTAGTATACTAAGTATAGTAGTTAAACTGTTATACGTATATGAGAGATTAGGTTGTTAAATTGACAAATGGTTCGCTATTTGGGTAAGACTTTTAATCAAATTTCACAATTTAGCAAGACCATGTCCAACGTTATGATGATATTAATGATTTGTACTCAAAAATTCTACAGCTTAAATCATTCTTTGAAGAGAACTCTTGACGTCTTCTTAGTTGAACTAAATAGTTCCAGATGATTCCATTTCCTCCGAGACACTTCCAGATCTTTCTAGAGATCTTTCTAAATAGCCAGTCCGAAAATGCTGACGATACAGTACATAGTCTTGTTCTCCCATCGTACAGTACAGCTCCCATCAGTTGCATTGTCCCAGTAGCAAGAGTTTGCCATGTGCAAACCTGCAGAAAAATCAAAACTTTTATTAATTTGCAGTTTAAAGTAGTTAACAGTTAACTGGAAGTGTGGTGGGACTAATTTGGAAACAGCTGCAAAACTTTTAAATGTTTTTCATTTTACCATTGGAGAACGGTAAGAAATACTAATTGTGGGTGGTGGGTGAGTGTGTCATGTCAGCAGTCAGGTGATTATTATTGACATCTCACCCACAGGATTAGGCCTGTTTCAGAGAATTGAGGAAAGTTGAGTTAAATTTAAGAGGATAAAATTGTATCAAACCTGCTCCATTCTTCTGCATGATGACACAGTTGACAATATACTTGAAAGGTTTGCTGAGTTTGGTCAGCTGGTTCAAACATTGTTCTACAACGTTACTAGTCCATTGGTTGACTTTGTTGTGTTGGTACGTGTTACCACCAATTGTTGCTTCTGAAATATTGAAATGTTTAAAGCAAACTTATAATTTAACACGTGCCATGAATATCATTATCTATTAATTAATGTACTGTCTACTAGGGTGAACTTTAAAAATTTCAGACTTTTTTTGATGGCTTTTCCATTAAAGAATATTTTAGCTATTGTGCGTTTGTTACAATGTTATATTTCCAAAGTTACTTTACATGGTTTCATGGTAAATTTTTGACTGGCTGAAAAACTGCTAATTCAACACTGAAACTGAAAGAAAAATAATGGTTTTTTAAGAGCCCTTACCAATTGCTTCTTTGATGATGCTACTTATCTCGTCATTCACAAAGGCAGTGTCTTCTCCAGCCGCAAAATCACTATCCATTATTAACAGCTGTTCAAAATAAAAAATTATCACTTTTCCTCGATAATGGGTGTTTAGGGAAAGTAACCAAACGATAAAAGATAAGATTTAAAAAAAGAAAATAACCAGAGTTTGTAAGCATTGTAGTGCAAAAACAGTCAACAAAAATAAAATAAACATTGTTAAGCATTGTTCCGAGAATCACATTAATTGTACAAAGATAACCCAGTTACTTTCTAATTTGTAAGGATGCCATAAGATAAATTCAGATTTCTTTCTAGTCATATTGTCACATGATGGTCTGTTGCATTGATGATGGGTGGTATACTGTCTGGTAGTTTTTATCAAGAGGTGTTTGAGTGAGTCAGGTTTCTGGAACTTGTGTTTTAATTAGGCTGCAAACTCATTGACGTGTGGTTCCTCATAGTGAAAGAGAGTTGGCTATCTCTTGTCTCATGCTAGCAGAGCTAGAGGATGTACTCAGTTGTACAAAGCCTTAGGACATTGTGGCCTCAACAAACACCTACACACCATTCGCAAATCAGACACAAGTGCTTGTCCTAAATGCGGCGACGGAGAGGAGACTGTCTCACACTTTCTCGGACAGTGCCCGGCTATTGCCCAAATAAGAAGTCAATATTTCCGGGACTACTACCTCTCTGTCAATGACATATTCGACAACCAACACATCTCCACCATTGTCAACTTTACAAACCACACTAAACGCTTAGTGATGCCAGAGGAGTTGGACCAGACAGGTGTAACATAGCGACTACTTTAACGCCGTCTTATTTCGCCTCTCTCTTCCACACTCAACCACCACTTAAGCATTTATCTATGACACACCCCACAACACTTACCATCATCCTTGATTACACATCTTGATTCCACTGGCATCCTCACACAGGACTGCCATACCCCAGAGGTAGGCAAAGCATCCATATGCTATCCTCTCGTGGGCCAACCAGGCCCAGCCTCTCTTTTTTAAAAAAATTAAAAAAAAAGCCTTAGGCTGTGGTTGGTGGGGCATTTTACAAGCAATTGTCTTCCATCCTTGACAATGGAAGTTGTTGTAGCCAAGTAGCGTTTCATCACAGCGTTTCATCACAGCACGTCTTGCAGGATTTTAACAAGGACGTGCTGTTCACGTCAAACTTACCTCAATTTGGAAACACCAAACAATTCAAAAATATATGCGAATAGATTTGGCAATAGTAATTATCCTTTCATAAGGGTAAATAAAATCAAATGAAAACATAACGATCTACACATAAGATCTTCAAAATGTTTAACCACAATAAAGAACCACAATAAAGAAGCTAAGAGCCAGGTCAAAAATCACACTCAAGGGAATCAGAGGAAGACAAAAAGCCCAGCACCTTGGACTGGATGACGTATCCTTCAATCTCATCCCTCAGAAGACGAGCTATGAGATCTTCTAAGTTTGTTAATGTAAATTTTATAGACAATTTATTGTAGCTTTTACATTATGTAAAATTTTACAGACGAAATGATCCCAGGGACGAAATGATTCCAGGCCCAGGGGGGACTCCCAACCCACCACTTCGGCAGGTAGTTGGTACACCTTTCACAAGCAAGAGCCACTTAAGTCTATTTGCTGTAAGGTTTATCATAAATTCAACAATTCCAACCCCAGTTTAAATTAATAAACTTCTTCTTTGGTAAATAGGAATAAAACCACAAATTATTATTATGTTCACACTTGTTCCCCAAATAATTATTTCCTTCGATTCTACTTCATCAGACACTATCCAATGACGATCATAGCAAATTCCCTTTAGGATTCAATTATTTTTTAAATATTCTGGCTCTATCTTAAAAAATTTTGGCACTGTTAAAGTTTTAAACATCGACAGGTAGAGCATTCAAATAAAATATTATAACTTTTTCGGAAATGTCAAAAGATTATTCCTTATTTTACAATTTTTTATATTTCACTTTTGAGTTCATCGTCGCTTTGCGTGTCGTGTGCATTTTCAATATGCTTAATCTTCACTTCGAAGTTGAATAAATCATTTTTATGCAAAGCTACGATCTAAAAGGGTTGGGATAGTCAATCAATGTATATAATAATTTGTAATTAAAATTTATCTTTGAAAAAAAAATTTATGAATGATCTATATAATACTATAACTAAGATGTATTACACATTATTTAAAATCTATCTAAACCATATTATACTGTATATACTAATATTTTCAAGGTTTTTGTAAAATGTTTATAAATTCTGTTCTCGACAAAAAGTTTAATAATTCAATTTTATAAAATTATAGTTAGGATTACATTTTACAAACAATATATGTTTTGCGTGGGAGCGGTCGGGCGGCGGGTTAAGTAAAAATTTTAAAAAGTTGTCGCTTCGTGTGTTGCTCTAACCAGAGCCCTCTCGCTTGTAGAAGCGCGTCACGCAGTACGCGTATACACTTACTGGGCCGCGCTCAGCCTGTCATTCCGCCAAATCTATATTCGGGCTGAGTGATTTACGACCTCCATCGCCTCAGAAAAAATGGCAGTACGCTCATTGGAAGTTGATGTGCGCGTGACCAGCATTCACGTGATCATTTAGAACCAATTGGGGCCTCAGAAAAGACACGTGCACGCAAACTGCCAATTGGAGAAAAGTAACGTATTAGCTAGAGGAGCCGCGCGATGAGTTAGATTGTAAAATTTGATTATTGGATTGTAAAATCGAGCGATATGAGTGTCATCAGTGATGTGCTGCTCACTGCACCTCGTGTTATCACACTGCACAGTTACATCGGTACCTCCTTCATGTTTATGTTGTTCCTGTAGTTAAAATATATTTTGATGACCTTTTCTTGCTCGTACGACATTTTTAAAAAATCGTCCAGTTGTCTACACTTGTTTATATTTAGCTGCCCGACATTTACTTCGTTTAAAGACCCTAGCGAAAGATGTTAGCTTTACTTAATATCAAAGTAACATGGTCCTGTCATGACTACCACTCTGATGAGGGATGGTTTAGTTTGTCAATCAGTTTGCAGTTATATCTGAAAATTTTCTTTTATATACTCATGCTATGCATTTGAATTAAATTTCCGAACTAAGGTCGTGCTACTTAAATCCAAATCAAGAGGTTCAGGGTACTAGAAGGAACAAAATATGTCAGATTGATGTTGACCATTATACTGTCTGTTTGTTATAGTTTTTATTTCTTTCGGACTGCCTGTTCGGGCCCGGCTACTTTTTGTCGTTTTCAAAGAAGGCCTGTGATCGAAAGAAATCTCTTAGGCTTGCCGAAAAGCACCAAACAACGCGAGGAGAGTGCGATTTTTTGATCATAGAATGAACTATTTTAATCATTGAAGTGAAGAAAAAAATGACAAGTTTTAGTGAAGCAAACAGCAAAATCCTGAATTAGTGAACCCAACATCTAAGTTAGGATTTGCAGGGATCATACAAGAAATCAGAAAAAACAGAGGGAAAGAATGGTGAAATTGATCAGAAGCATTGAACAGCAAAATATCTCCACTTTACACTTATCCTAACTTCACGAAGGGATCCAGAGCAGAACATACCTTGGAAGCTGATCAGCTATCATCGGTTATATTCAAGAAGATACAGAAGATTTTTGCATCTTGGTGGAAAGGCACGATACAGATTTTCACACAGAAGAAGCTTTCAACTCAGACTTACAAGCAAAACATGAGTAAAGTCAGGAACATGCTGCATGCTATTTGGTGTACGATAATAAGGCCACTGTGATAATCAAGGCAGTTTGGACGGTTGGTTCAGGATATTTATAAAAAACTGCGCACTGGAAGTTTTATGTTAGGGAAAATACTCCCCAAACGAATTCCAGCCCCAGATGTCATTAAGAAGTAACTTAGGAGTGAACAACCTCACTAAGAAGCATTGAAGCGTACAATTTAGAGAAACACTTAGTTCATATCAATGGCCGCAGGAACGGGAAAAGTGGTATAACTGAAAGCTAAAGCAATACACGTGCTACCGAAAGCAAATAGAAAAAAACTTATTTTTCGTTGATTATCATCCACAGCTGAGGTAGGGATTAAACTACTTTGAAAAAAAAACAAGTGTACAGCACTGCACAATATCCAGCCTAATCTAGGGAGACTGACCACGTTCAGATTATTCAGATGATATCCTTCAAATTAGCTGATAATCAAGTTATCATAATTCATTATTCCGGAGAATTTAAGAGGCACGTTGGCAAGTTAGAGTTTTTGTCGAGTTATCCAAATCAGCCAAACTGCTTTCAGAAATAATAAATCAACATCTAGATTTGATGTGTTTTTAGACGATATGCAAGCGATTTCAACATTATGATGACATTGAAGGAACGAATAACCTTTATTGACAACGTTATGTTCTTTGCCCGGAGGTTAATCAGGGCAACCGTTTATATCTGGATACTCATGACACGGCACAGGATTATATGTGTATATTAGGCCTTCAACTATCAACAATCAAACCCCCTTTTCACACAATTACCTCTATCAAAGAACTTGAGAAACACATACGATATATCGAATAGTTTATGACAGTATTAAGGGACAAAATAGAAGAAGAAGAATAAATGAGACGAAGAAGAGGATCACGTACATTCCAAATGAGACCATCGATACACAAAAAACCAGGTCATGACATTCGTGGACAGAATCAACATACATGTTTTTTAATGAGCGGAGATGTTGATTTGATAGGCACTTACTAGAAAGAGTTAGAACAAGCTGCAGCGAAGGAAAAATGTTCTTAGTACACACACCGTTTAATACAGCGTGATACGTGACTATCACAGACAGACTTTATGATTTTGGTAAAATAAAATTAACAAATATAGGAGTGAACAGTCTGCTGTTAAGAAACCCTTGTTAATATAACTCCACAAAACTCCTTCAGAGAATGGCACTGTCATTGATAGTTAAAAATGAAGATTTAGTGACTGCTCATCTGTACTAACCATGTCCTCGAGCTAGAGTTTACTGTCAATTTTGCTATGTTTACACCCTGATACAATGTT